CTGGGAATCCCCTGTGGCTGAAGACAGAGCTTTACGGGTGCGCGAAGACGCAGCGGCTAGTTCCGACCGTGTACACGCAGTGGCAGTTTTCTGACATGATGCCGATCCTGTGGACATGGCCGCAGGTCGTCGAAAAACTGATCAATGGCGCAGACCTGATGGTTCCGGGGCTAATTGTGCCGCAGGACGGGCTTCCCGATTTGAAAAGCGGGACCATCGTGGCCATATGTTGTCCTGGGAATTTGGCGGCGCAGGCAGTCGGCGTCCTGACCTTTGACACGAAGGACGTGCACAGCGTCATTGGTGCCAAGGGGAAAGCAGTATTGATCACCCACACGTACAAGGACCATTTGTGGGAGTCTGGAAGCAAAGCCAAGCTGCCTGAGATAGCGATAGCAGTCGCGGTGCTGGAGGACGACGAACTGCTGTCAGGCGAGAAACACATTGGCGATGACGACTGTGCTGAGCAGATCGAGCATAGTTGTGGTGTCGCCCTGGGCGGCGAACAGGACGAGCACATCGTCGAGCTGTCGCCGTCTGAGATGGATGGGCTGCTGATGGAGGTATTGAAGCAAACAATGGCGACAGTGCTAGACGCGAACCACGCGACCGGCCTGCTGCCAATCAATGCGTCGACAGTGTACTCGAACTATATGGTGCCCAACGCGCCGCGGGGCAAAGAAGTGGACATCAAGCGGTCGTCGTATAAGAAGCTGGCCAAGTTCCTCAAGGCCGCCGAGAAGCACGGGCTGATCAAGCTCAAGGATATCCGCGGCGAGACGCACATAAAGTCGTTCGACTGGGCGCACCGCGACATGGCCACATTCCAGCCGTACAAGGTGCCGCGTATCAAGAGTGACAGGCCGGCGGCTGAGTCTAGTGCTGCTTTTGGGGGTGCTGCCGGGGTCACCGCCTCTTCAGGCACAAGTGCGAGTGAGGCGCATTCGGGTGGCTCTGGGATGATCCAGATAATTGAGTTGTTCAAGCCGTCACACGCGCTGGCGCCCCTGTTCGAGGATGTTGGCGCACAATCGGAATCGGGGTTTTTGAGCCGGCAGCAGGCGCGCGCGGTGCTAGAGCAGTACATCAAGGACAGTAACCTGGTAGATCCCAAGAACCCGCGCATGATTAAGCTGGACCACCGGCTGTGTGACGGCTTGCTGACAAAGGAGGAGTACTCCAAGATGAACGCAATGCCGCGCGACAAACTGCAGGCTCGCCTACAGGAGAAAATGACGCTGTACACACAGGTCATGGTGCCAGGGCAGACGCCGGGCGCGCCAAAGATTGGCAGCCCGGCAGCTGTGGAGATTGTGTGCGAGAAGAAAATGGGAAATAAAGTCGTGACGCGCATCGCCGGGTTGGAGGCCTACGGCGTCGACCCAGCAGTCATTGCCAAGGAGCTGCGCATTGTCTGCGCATCGAGCACTGGTATTGACTCGATCCCCGGGAAGAAGAACGCGCAGTCGGTGCTCGTGCAGGGCCACCAAGTTGCTGCGGTTACAAAGCTGCTTGAAAGGCACGGGCTGCCATCGCAGCTGCTCAAGGTGACTGACAAGTCGGGCAAGGCGGTCAAGAAGCAAGGCGCAGGCGCAAGCACGGGCAAGGCAGCAATATAGTGAAAATCATTTTGTACTAAATGTTTTGTTCACAAAGTTATCTATTTCAATTTCGCTGCCCTTGATCGATGCAAATATGATTGCGCGATAAGCGTGTTATTGAATACGATTGGAAATGAGAAAAATGTACTGAAAGTATGAAAAAATATCACAACTAGTTCTGCTGGAGCTGCAGAGCAGACAGACGGCGCGCGACCTCGGTGATGTACTCGTTGGTAGAGACGTAAGTCTCAGGAGCGGCATCGTTGCCGTGGATAGAGATTGCCAGATCCTTGGTCATGACGCCGCCCTTGACGGACTCAATGCAAGCGGTCTCGAGGTTGCGGGCAAAGGCCTCGAGGTCGGGGGTCCCGTCAAGCTGGGCGCGGTGGATGAGGCCGCGGGTCCAAGCGTAGATCGAAGCCACGGGGTTGGTTGACGTCGTCTTGCCCTGTTGGTGCTGGCGGAAGTGGCGAGTGACAGTGCCGTGGGCGGCCTCGGACTCGTAGATAAAATCGCCGGGCTGCTCGCCCTTGGCGACAAGCACCGAGGACATCAGCGCCAGCGAGCCACAGCCCTGGGCGACCAGGTCCGAAATGATGTCGCCAAGCATGTTACCAAGCGCGAGGATCATGCCACCCTCCATCTTGACCAGCTGGGCAACCATATCGTCGACCAGGCGGTGCTCGTACCAGATGCCCAGGCGCTCAAAATCAGCCTTGTACTCAGCCTCATACAGCGCAATAAAGATCTTGTCCCAGTAGGCGTCGTAGGTCGAAATAACGGTCGACTTGGTGCCGAGGTACAGGGGCATCTTGCGGTCAATGGCCATCTTGAAGCAGGCGTGGGCAAAGGCAGTGATCGACTCGTGGGTGTTGAACATGCCGAGGCCGACGCCGGGGCCCTTGAAGTCATGCACGGTGTGGCGGATGCTGGGCTCGCTGGCGCCCTCGGGCGTGAAGGTGACCTCGAACTTGCCGGGGCCGTCCATCTCAAAGTCAGCTGACTTGTACTGGTCGCCGAAGGCATGGCGCGCAATAACAATGGGCTTCTTCCACGCGGGGATCAGGCGAGGCACGTTGTCGATGAAGATAGGCTCGCGGAAAACAGTGCCGTTCAGGATGTTGCGAATCGTGCCGTTGGGCGACTTCCACTTCTGCTTGAGGTTGAACTCCTTGACGCGGGCGTTGTCGGGCGTGATGGTCGCACACTTAATGCCGACCTTGTACTTCTTGATCGCCTCGGCGGCCTCGAGTGTGACCTTGTCGTTGGTCTGATCGCGGTTCTCCATGCCCAGATCGTAGTACTTGATGTCAATATCCAGGTACGGCAGGATGAGCTGATCCTTGATCCGCTGCCAGATGATGCGAGTCATCTCGTCGCCATCAAGGTCGACGACCGGGTTCTTGACGACAATCTTTTGGATTGCGGCGGTGCTGCTGGCATCTGCGCTCATGGTTGGTAAAGAAATGTTGTAAATAAAAGTAGGGGATTAGAGAGTAGTCAACAATATCTTTTTTTAGTTGAGCAGGAAAGTGGTTGCGGCAGCAGCCGAGGCCGCCCTTTATATAGTAGCGGTGTTCTGGGCTGGCAGGGGGCGTGTCCGAGAAGCCAAAGAGGCCTTAGCGGTAGGATAGCAGGCATTCTCTGATTGTGATTGTATGGTTCAATTGCAATTGCAATTGCAATTGTATTTGCGATTGCGATAGAAGGAAGAGGGTTCGGCGCAAAACGGAAGCGGCCAGGGACAAAAGGGGGTGTGGGATGGCGTACGGCAGCAGACATCGCGAGCATGGGGCCAAAAAGGAGAGGGAAAGGAGATTGCTGGGCGCACGCTCTACACTGTGATGGCGGCGGCTGCAGAAGAGCGGATGATCACCGCCCTTGGGCTTCCCCAATCCGCAGAGGGTATCTGCTTATCAGTGCCAAAAAACAATCCGGACAAATGGTGCATTTTTCCCATGTGATCGAGGCAAATAACAGAAGGAAAAACCGAGCATCAAGCATCAAGCATCAGGCATTGGGCATTGGTCATTGAGCATTGGGCAGTGCGGTGACCGTTCGGAAGAGGAGGGGCAGCCAATCCCGGTTTCCCCGTCAGCTCCACCAATTCCGCAAAACAGAAGATTAGCGATACCAGTGCGGCAGCGGCACAGTGGCCGGTGTAGTCACAGGGGCTGCTAGTGTGATTAATTGGTCTGGATCATCGGATTGGCATGGGATGACAAATCGCGTGCAGCCTTGGATCTGAGTCTGCGCAAGATATGTGAGGGCGCGGCAGAGTCAAAAGGAGCCAAGCAGAGCCAGAGCCAGAGCCAGAGCCAGAACCAGAACCAAACGCAGACACAAGTGCAACTGCAAGCAGGACGCTGGAATCAAAGCGCGCCGGAAATTAGTCACATTTTCGCTGCACATTTCCTGCTTCTCATCCTGCAGCCAAAGCTGCGCCTCTCTCTCCTCCCTCTTCCCCTTCAAAAGCAGTACAAGTTTGGCCAGTCAGTCAGCCGGCCGGAAGAACGCTTTGCCGGAGCAGTCCGGTTATTAAAAATGCACATTAGTCATCAAAACAGAACAGCACAGCACATTGTTGGAGCTGGTACTTACAGTAGCGCATGGCCGGGTGCACGCTGGCAAGACGGGCGGGGCTGGTCAGTCGCTGGGCGACGGCGGGTGCGCGAGCGATGCTGCGAATGGCAGAAAACATATTCGACTATGAAAAGAAAAGACAATATGAAGGCAAATCGTCGAGGTGTGTTAGTATTCAGATTCGTGCTTTGCGATCAGCGCTCAGTCGCTCAGTCGCTTGGCCAAGGTGGTAGCCATCTCCAAGGCGCGCGTATACCAGATAAAAGGGCGGCCCGTGCGCTGGTGCGCTTGTGCGTTCCTGAAAAAAGCCAAGCCAGCCGAATGACAAGGCATGCGCGTTACTGCTTGTTTCCGACAGGGTACCTTGTGTATTTTATTTACTTACTATTTACGATGGCCGCGGAGTTGGCTGTAGAGTTATTGCTGGTGTGCAGAGGGAGCGCGAGACAAACAAAAAATTAAAAATTGACAATTGACAATTGAAGAGCAGAAAAGCGCGCGAGAGCGCATAATACAAAGAGGGCGCGGGAAATGGACACGCCCAGCAGCAGCAGCAGCAGCCACCGCTCGCACAATTACATTGCCACAGGAGCCTCAAAGCGGCGGCAGACAAGCGCGGCGGCTAGTTTTGCGCCAATTGCAAGCGCCCAAAGCTGGCGGTAGCCCCTGTTTTGGCAGTGTGCAACTCGCCCTGATAGCTTGTTTTACCTTTTATTTTAAATAAAAACCACTGAGGAGTAGGGCCCAGGCCAACAAAAGCTAAATCAAACTAGAACAGACCGGAGTTGGTGCTTAAACCGATGTCCGCTGCGGATATTACCTGCTGCTGGTAGTGGTGTTGCCGCTGCTGCTACCGCTGCCGCCGCCGCCAGTTTGCGGCGAGCCTTGTAAGCGCCATCCGGGCGGCAGGGTTGTGAGCTGGATCAGAATTAGAATTAGAACCAAAAGCAGAATCAGGATCAGAATCAGAACTGGGAGCATACAGCCTGCACCCCCATCTGCCTTTGTTTTGGAACCTAGGGTTGACAAATACCCAGCAGTCAAAATGACCCCTTGTCCTGAACATCTGACAAATGAGCCAGCCTAGCTATGCAGTAACAATCAGCGCCATTGGTTTGTTTCAGCCAGCTGCTGCTTACGCACAGCCGCCAGAAACATGTGCTCTGTTGCGCAGAGCGTGCCAATTAATAATGCCATCCAGCAAGCAATCGAATCGAGCAGAGTAGAAATGGATGTCAAATCTACTTCCCCAATATATAAAAGCGGCAACACGCGCTGCAAGATAAACGAATTAATTTACACTGTAATTAGCCTGTTTTCTGCCTTTCTTTTAGTACTTACGCTCACTCACATCATTTATCGCAGACACTTTCATTTTCTGCTTAGAATAGCACACCTCACCATCCATTTATCCAATTATTGCCACCCATACGCAATGTCGTCGACTTCAACACCCCCGATTATCACCAAGTGGGCCTCGAAAGACGGCGAGTTCCACCGCCAGGTCTCCAGTTTCCGCAGCTTCGTCGAGCCCAGCGCCGCCGCCGAGTTCCCGGCTGAGTCTGGCCGCTATCATTTGTACGTCAGCTACGCGTGCCCGTGGGCGCACCGCACACTTATTGTGCGGCAGCTCAAGGGCCTGAAGGACGTCATCAGCATCTCGGTGGTGCACTACCTGATGGGCCCCAATGGCTGGGAGTTTGCGTCGCCCGACGACGTGCCCGGCGCGACCCTGGACGATGTTACAGGCGCCAAGTACATCCGCGAGGTCTACCTCAAGGCCGAGCCCAGCTACTCGGCGCGCTTCACAGTCCCCGTGCTGTGGGACAAGAAGCGGCAGACCATTGTCAATAACGAAAGCTCCGAAATCATCCGCATGCTCAACACAGCCTTTGATGACTTGGTCGCACCCGAGTACCGCGGGATCACGTTTTACCCCGAGGACCTGCGCGTCCAGATCGACGAGATCAACGAATGGATTTATGACACGGTCAACAATGGCGTCTACAAATCAGGGTTTGCCGTTTCGCAGGACGCGTACGAGCGGAACTGCCGCGCACTGTTCGAGTCACTCGAGCGCATCGAGCGCATTCTCGCTGAGAGAGAGTTTTTGCTGGGCTCGCGGCTGACCGAGGCCGATCTGAGGCTGTTCACGACGATCGTGCGCTTTGACCCGGTGTACCACGGCCACTTCAAGTGCAACCTCAAGCAGATTGGCACCGGGTACCCGAACATTCTGCGCTGGACGCGCGAGATCTACCAGCTGCCAGGAATCAAGGGCACGGTCAACATGGAGCACATCAAAAAGCACTACTACATGAGCCACACTCAGATCAACCCGACCCAGGTCGTGCCCCTGAGCGATGGCCCCAATCTCGACAGCCCTGAGGTCAGGCTGGCATCTCGCCCGTACTGATGAATATATATTTAATTTTTATAATATATTTAACGTGTGGCCGAATGTACAGACTGTTTATAACTTTGGTATATACTTGAAACAAAAATTTAATAGGGTAGCCAACGGAGCTGAGCTGTTCTGTTCTGTTCTGTTCTGAGCTAAGCAGGCGCAATTGCCCTGGTCTTCAATCATTAATTGCCATTAATATTGCCGCCGTTGTCCTTTGTGCGCGCGGTGTGGGGCTCTGCAACAACTGACAGCACGCAGTCTGCCTCGGTCCCAATATCCAGCTCGTTTGGCGAGTCTGCCTCCAGATAAATAGGCTGGGGTGGCTTTGTCCGCTGCTGCTGCTGCTTTTCTTGCGTCGCCGGAACCCACGCTCCAGAGTTCTGCTGGCGACGGGCAAGAGAGTTTCTGTGCCCGCGGCCGCGAGTGCGGTCGCGGGCATTCTCAAACCTGCACACACGGTCACCAAGCTTGTAGCCGATCAGCAGCAGAACCAGGCTCAGCGCGAAGGACAGTGCCAGAAACCCGAGCTCGCTCAACGCAAAGTCTGCCAGCCGGGGCCCCAGACTGTTGCCGTCGGACGAGTGTATGGGCAGGTGCTGCTGCTGAACCTGGTAGCGATGGCTGTAGCCGTAGAGCACTGCATGGTGCGCGTGCCCAATGCGCCTTTGCCTCTGCTCTAGGCCCGGCTCGGGGCCCGGTTTAGGCTTTGGCTCTGGGTCCTGCTGGTCACCGCAATGGTGTCTGTGATGGTGTCCGTGGTGTCCGCCATGGTGTCCGTGGTGTCCGTGATGGTACCCTTGCTGGTGTCTGTGAATCCTATAGCCCTGCTTCCCTGCGCACGGGCGGTGAGCCTGACCATGTCCAGCGGGGATCACAGCAACCAGGTCATTGCGTGTTTCGCGGATGACGATTGCCGACGAGGTCGCCACCTTGCCCGCCCTTTTGCGTGCACCAGAGTCGATGACGATTCTTTCGACAATCACGGTGACTGCGGTCGGGTCAATGTGGCCGTACCCAGGGGCGTAAATCAAATGGGTAATGTTGATCGGCGGCATCTCTATATGTGACTATTCGCAATATGATGTCGGATATGTCTGCTTTAAAAAATAAAAATAGTGAAAACGAGTGTTAAGCGAAAATGATGAAATGTAGACTTGTTCTTTGAATGTAGATCAATTTATTTGCACACGGTGTGTCCACATCGAAAATCGAGCAGCTGTTCTAGGCCAGCTCCACATTGCAAGTGCATGAATGTTTAAATGGACGAACGCAGTGTGGGCCCTGCTGATATTGTCGCCACCGGAAAATACCCTGGCGCATTGCTCTCCCCCGCACGGTCAAATAAGTTTATGGCCAAATACAGCGGGGAAAAAGAAGGACGGGATGCTGGCATGCCGCGATCGCATTGGCCACAAAGGTGTGCATCTCCGCAAATATTATTGCAGCCACATGTGCCATTCACTCGTGGCGCAACTCCAGCATCTGCTCGACCAGCGCTCGGGTGTTCTCAGCCGTGGTTCTGCAGCAGCCGCCAACAATGCTCGCATCACAGCGGACCCACTCGGCCGCCTCGCAGGCAAAATGAGCTGCTGAAACCAGGCCGCCGTCTGCGTGCCAGCCGCCGTTAGCGTCCGACCACGGCTGGCCGTTAGGATAACAGATAATTGGCTTTTGCGTTGCGCGCTGGATCCCAGCCAGCAGCCCGCCAACAACGCCCAGTGGGACGCAGTTGATGTCGATAGCACACACGCGGGGGCAATTGGAAATGGCCTTGACGGCGTCTTCAATTGTGTCGCCACACCCAATGCGGTCAGCGGTGCTTGATGTGAACGATATCCGCGCGGGCGGAAGCCTGGTGCCGCGGCCATGTAGGGCCTCGAGTGCATCGGCAACTGCACTGGCCTCGGCGGCCGATGGAATGGTTTCTATCGCCAAAAGGTCGATCTGATCACGAAGAGCCGCGCTGCCATGCAGGCAGTCTGCCAGCATACCAAGACGCTCTTCGTGGAATTCTCGCACACGCGCCGGTGTCACCGCGCAGCCGTAGTCGCCAGTGTACTCGCTGCAATTGCCCAGTGTCGCGCTGATGGAACCCAGAGAGGCGGAAATCATCGGCCGCCCAAGCCTCGTCGCACACCCATGCTCTCGCATATACTGGTCTCGCGCCTCGACAGCCAGCAAAAGCGTCGATTCCATTAGGCGCTTGGCCCCAGCTTTGTCGTCCGCCAGTCCTGCCGAAATGTAGCCGTTCGCAGACGCCTGGTAGGTGGCGGTGGAAATAATGTCGGCGCCGGCTCTCAAATACATGAGGTGCACGTGGCGGATTACATCAGGGCACCGCACTGCCACCCCAGACGCCCAAAGGCCGTCGGACATGTCTAAGTGCAGATACTTGTCCGCTATGAGCTGACCGAATCCGCCATCCAGAACCAAGGGTTTGCGCGGATTAAATCCACACAATGCTTCAAGACTGTCGCCCATGCTGCTTGTGTATTTTTTATATATTATATTTACTATTATATACTGAATGGCGAAGATATACCCCTTTGAAGCAATTACAGGCCAATCTCGCTTTGCTGGCCACTGACCGCCTACCCTAAAACGCTGATTCTCTCGTGCCTCTTGAGAGTGTTATGGACCATCTTGCATGTGAGCAGGATGAGTGCCATCAGTGAGTCTGGCACCGGCTCGTGGATGACTAGCGTACCGCACCTGATGATTACAAACATGGATCGGCTGAAAGTGGCAATCTTTTTGCCCCTGGCGTCGTACAGCGTCCACGAGGTGCTCCACCAGCTATCGATCCACGTAAACTCGTTTCCCATGAAGTCAACAAACGACCATCCGGAGAAGAACCACCCGGTGCGCTTGGCTGTTGCCCCAGAGTTGAAACCTTCGATCCTGGCACTGCGCTTTGCCGCCCCATCTGTTTGCCCCAAGAGCACGGTCATTCCGCTAGTGAGGGACTGTGTGATGTATCGGAGCGCGAAATCGTGCCCGTCGAAATCAATATCGTACACTGGCGCAATGGCCTGCTTTGCCGCTGCACTCTCGCTCTTGACTTTGCCACCATATATGATGGCGCTCTTGGAAAATACGCTCTTGCGGAAGAATGTGAAGGATGTAGTCATTTTTGGCTGTGATTATGATGGCAAAAAAAGCAGAGGTTTCTAGAAAATTATGATGAAATAAAGGGACGTAAAGTATAAAATAAACAAGAGAAAGTGCCGATGGAGAGTAAAGCACAATTCCATTTATTTGATAGACTCCCCAGTTTATATCCAGAGACCATTATCCAAATCGTACGCCGCAGTCGCGCTCGCCAAAAGAGGTTTAGATAGTGTTGTGAGATTTACGCTCACAACAACAAAATACGTTATGTACCATGACATGATCCTTTTCTTTCTGGACTTTGCAAATACCAGGTTATTTTGAAAAATAAATTGTATTCCGATATCAGTGATATATTGGATGCTGATGAGGAGAAAAAGCAAATAAAAAAGAAAAACAATATAAAACAAATATCCGAGTGCTTGGTTTGTTGTCACTATCACGCAGACGTTGACTGCGTGTCATCACCACCGTTGTTGTTGTGTCGTTGCTATTGTTATTTGCTAACTTTCTCTTGCTTCTTGATGGTGTTGTGGAACATCTTGCACGTTAGCAAAATAAGGGCCATCATCCGGTCTGATACTGGCTCGTACACGACCAGCATGCCGCACCTTCTAATGGAGTATAAAGCACGGTCAAC